GATTTACTTCAAAGTATGACATGGTAAAGCATCTGAGAGTCCACACTGGTGAGAAGCCTTTTGAGTGTTCTCACTGCAATAAAAAGTTCTCTGAGAAAGGAAACCTGAGAAAACACTTACAGATACATTCCAGGAAACCAAAGCAAAATGCAGAAGGCTCTATTAATCCAAGTATAAACAGTATTGAACCTTCTTTGCAGAACTCCAGGGAATGCCCACAGTGTGGAAAAATCTTTACCTCAAAGTGTGATCTGATAAAGCATTTTAGAGTCCATTCAGGGGAGAAGCCATTTGAGTGCTCTCATTGTTTTAAAAAGTTTTCAGAGAAAGGCAATCTGAATAAGCACATACTACGGCACTATAGACAATTTGGCATAAACTAAAATCAAAAAATTAAAAAAGCAAACAAACAAAAAATTTATTACAATAGGGTAGAAATCTTTATGAATGGTCTTTCAAATGAATAAACAATATTATGTTTACATGTTATTGAATTATTATCAAAATGTTTTTATATTATTTTATTATGTGCATTGTATATAAAGGGCAGGTGTTACTTGTTTGTTTCATTGAAATCTAGTGAATTTGATATTTAAATATATTATTAAAGTTCCAATATGTTTTATGAACAGAGTTATAGTATCAGATGTGTTAGCCTGGTAGGTGAGAACTCTTCCTTGTACACAGGGATCCCAAGATGGCCACTACACAGGCTACACTATAGCATGGATAGCGTGGATAGACACACTTAATCCATGAAGCAAATAGTACTAATTACTACACAGGGATACTAAGTCGACTTAGTATAAATAATGATTCATATTTCTAATGGAGACAAAGCACACAATATCCTTACCTGGTATATTAATAGGATAATGACTTAACAACCAAGTGCAGTTAAGTGAGCGTGAAATTTTCAGATTTTAGCGCCGTCTGGCATGGTAATATAAATCCATACTGTTGAACAAGCTTTTCATTCTTGATTGCTACACAATTTGGATTGTGTTTACATAGGCGATACAAGCGTGTACAAGTAGTTAGCAAGTATAAACCGAATTYAATTCTTAAACGAAGTCCAAACGAATTTCACTATTACAATKACAACATAAAATACATTTTCATTAATTGTCACGTGACCTCGGTTTCGTWTTACTGCTAATGAGATTTTTGGTGTATCTAGATTTGATTGACAGCTCGCTGAACTGAGTTGTTCACTCTTCTTTTGTCGGGGAGTCGKGTGAGATGACAATTTTATGACAGTTTAAAAGCACGTTTTAAAATTAAGAACTTTCGTCTCAGTGACATATTAGAACTAAGAGACCGAAACGACGGGGCAATGGACCTCGGCAATGGACCAACGAAGAGGCCGGCAGGTGCTCTTGGGAAATGTGATCCATGAACACTAAAACACGGTTTCAACAGTTGTGTTGCTTTCACGGCGGTGTCAAAGTATTGCATTTTTCTGCCCTTCGCGCTGCCAAAGCGCAATAATCAATATATACAATATTGGAGTGTAACAATGCCTGGTGCCTGGTGGACAGCACAACCAGCGACTTTAATTATTTACTTCAATTACACAATAATATCCCGGGGGAGGGGGGGTTCTCCCCTATATTCGCAATACGGGGACGTGCCGCCAACCAGGGTATCGTTTTCAGCGATTTTACTCTGAAACAGGGTTTAGTTTTCAGCGATTTCACTGTGGAATAGGGTCATGGTTTTGAGGTTACAGCGGCACCCCCCCACCCAAGTTGCGGGGGAGTACCTCCCCCCCCCGGGAATAATATACTGTATAAATACTAACCAGTCAATAATTTGCATATGTGCACGAGTCCTCTAATGAGGATCCCCAGGGGTGCATCGTTATAATAAACTTRTCAACGACAATGGCTTATCACAATGCGATACAATACACTCAGAAACGTAAAGAAAAAACGCTTTCCTACTGCATGCTGCTGTTCCGTCGGAAAGCTGTTATCCTCTAGTGCACGCAGCTAATGTTATGTTTCCTTTCAAATGCATCGATAAATGATTAATGGTAACATTAATTTTACGAGAAGCCTCGTCCTACATAATCCGCCATCTTGATATTTGAGGAGAACATGAAAGATGTTTTTTTGTAAAGCTCCGTGGCGACTATCACGCCTGGATTTCTTGTACTTTACTCGGGTTTCATTGTGAGCGATGCAAAGAAAAGCGAACAACAGCGCACAATAACAACAGCAACAACGTAAAGCAACGTAAAGCAAAAGCAAACA